CTGAGGCAAAATCCGATACTCCTATAGCAACTTAGAATTCTTAGCTCAAATTATCCATAAAGAATTAGGTATGAATAAAATTTAAATAGAGATCTTCTTTCGAATCAACAACGATTTGATTTTGATAAATATAAAGATATTAATATTGGTTTCACTGTATTCACACAATTGCGACCAAAACATTGCATTTTGCTTGATTCTACTGGTATACATAATGTATGTATTTGTACAATTCATGAAAATGTAAAATTAATGATCAACAGTTTAAGAATTATGTCACAAGATGCAATAATAGAAAAAGTGCTTTGTAATATTTCTACTAGAACAACTGATTGCTTTTTCCGTGCTTGCGAAAAGTGTGCTTCCAATGAACATATTGAAGAAGAACTTACTTTGCTATTAGAATCAAATGACAAACAAGATGTTGTGTTTCAACAGTGGCTGAATACTGATCGCTGTAATTTGGAAACGATTATCAAGCCTGTTGATGAATTTGTTCCGTATCTCATTGATAAAATTAACAAACTTATAACTCATGACTTTATTTACAAACAATAGTCATTTTTTCTAAGAAATAAAAAAGAATCATTAAAAGAAGGCGAACTTCTAGCAATTTGTGATTTTTCTGAAAATTATTCATTCATTATCCAAAACGCTGTTCAAGGATATCACTGGAATAATTCTCAAGCAACAATACATCCATTTGAAGTTTATTATAAGAAAGACAATAAACTTGAAAATGCTAGCTTCATTATCATATTAGAAGTAATGACTCACGATACAGTTGCAGTTCAGTTGTTCATCCCAAAAATGATAGATTTTATTAAATAATCGATAGATTTTTCTAAAATTACTTTTATGTCAGATGGGGCAGCATCACAATACAAAAATAAGAAAAACTTTGCTAGTCTGTGTAGATTTCAGTCAAAGCATGGATTAGAAGCGGAATAGCATTTTTTTGCAACGTCTCATGGAAAAGGTCCCTGTGATGCCATTGGTGGCACTTTCAAGCGAATGGCAAAGAGAGCTAGTCTTGCTCGAGATTATGGAAACACCATAACAACTCCACGAGAATTATATAACTGGGCAGTTGAACAAACAGATAAAAATATCACAAAACTACGTTTCGAGTACATATCCACTGAACAGTACATCGAAATGTCAGAAGAACTCGAAGAACTATATAACAGCACAAAGACAATATGTGGCACACAGAAATTCCACAGTTTTGTGCCTATAACTGGTGACAAAGTAGCGGCAAAAAGGTATTCTAATTCAGAAGATGAACCAAAAATATTTGATTGGAAAATGGAAAAAAAATAGCATGTATGAAAATAGGTTTAAAACATTGAAAATATATAAATAAATGATATATGAAAAATCTTGTCTTTTTCTCTCACATATTATCAAATTTTGCATCAGATGTAGACAACAGAATAAGGGAATGATATTTTTTGACAAGGTCTACATGTCCAAATAGTTTTATTGAACTCTGAGAGGGTGCTGAAAATTCCAAATACGATTTGGCGAGAAATGCATCATGAGCCCTTTTCATATGAAATTCTCGATTAATCAAAGTGAACTTAAGTGCTGATTAGACAAAATTGAATCGCAAATCGAGCTTCATTGGATTCTGAGATGATTTTGAGCTTCACTGGTTTAGTTTTGTGTGAAAATGGCAAATCAAAAAAAATCAGTTCAGACATGAAAAAGTTTTTGTAAGAAAAACTTTTTTTCCTTAAAAGTGCCCGCGATGTATGGACGGTTGGTAGTAAACATAATTACCTATCTTGAGGTAAAGTTTCATTCAAATCAAACATGGCCATTTTTTTTAAATCGACTTTAAATTTTAAAAATCGATTTTTTTCAGTGTAGGTCTCAAATAAATTTTTTTCCAGTATTTTTTTTCGATAACTTGGTCGATTTCCTAAAAGTCATCCACACAACACATTTTTGTAGGAGTTGTGATTTTTCCATAATATTTTTTTGAAAAAAATCGGCAGAAAAAGTTTGGCCCTTCTCAAATGTTAGTCTTGATAAATTTTGGACAAAAATAAGTATGCAAAGTGGCATATTTAGTCAAGGTCCACACATCCAGAAAGTTTGATTGAAATCTGAGAGGGTGCTGCCAGCTCCGAATACAATTTGGCGCGAAATGCGTCTAATGCATCAACCCATGACGGCCGTGATATTTACCAGCTATGCCCATGACCTTCTAGGTACATGTTTATGTCACAACCGCAAATTAATTTATATATGACAGTTCCAAGTGTTTTCGAAAAAACCGTGGAGCTCTAGGATCAGTTCATACGTTGACCACTTTTACGGATTTTTCGGATCTTCCGGAGGACGGTCCGATGGCCATCTGGGTTCATGTTTATGTCACGATCCCACATTCATTCTAATATCACAGTTCCTAACGTTTTCAAGAAAACCGCGGAGCTCTAGGATCAGGATTCTGGATTTACTAATTTTACGGATGTTCCGGATCTTCCGCTGGACGGTCCCATAGACATCCAGGTTCATGTTTATGTCACAACCCCAAATTGCTTCTATCATCACAGTTCCTAATGTTAAAAAAAATGCGGAGCTCTAGGATCAGGATCGTGGATTTACTACTTTTACGGATGTTCCGGATCTTCCGTTGGACGGTTCGATGGCCATCTGGGTCCATGTCCCAAATTCATTCTTATATCACAGATCCTAATGTTAAAAAAAACGCGGAGCTCTAGGATCAGTTTCATGGATTGTCCACTTTTACGGATGTTCCGGATCTTCCGGAGGACGGTCCCATGGCCATCCAGGTACATGTTTATGTCACAACCCCAAATATTTTTTTATATCACAGTTCCTAATGTCTTAAAAAAAACCGCAGGGCTCTAGGATCAGGTTCATGGATTGACCACTTTTACGGATGTTCCGGATTTTTTAAGGACCGTTCCGTTGTCTCCAGGATCCATACATAGGAACCATGACTGTTTTCTGGCTAATTGTGAACATTTGCGCCCATTAATCTAAATTACAGATCTTGCACCACTTGCAAAACCCTACAAACACACTTTTCAAAAAAAACGTGTAACAACTCTTTTCGCTTTTTAAAAAAGTAGACGACTCTATTGTCAATATTTTTGCAATCAAAATCATCTACAAACCCTAGGAATTCTAAACGTACCACAATTTTTGAAATTCATTAAGAAATGGCTAAGTTATGCCATTGCAACTTGCCGTTACACGTTTTTCGGAGGCATCGTATTCGGAGTGTTAATCAGTGGATCGATTCTAGAGCCAAATATAAGATCGATCCATCAAGATCGATCTTTCTCTGAAAATTGCCCAATCCTAGTTGAACACGACTGATCATGTTAAAATGAAAAAAGTGTGTGACAATTTTCTGGAGGGTGTAAGGATTCATCAACCCTAAAGTGACATTTATCTGCAAACGTTTTTGTTCTGTTAGAAAAGTAATGCAATCATTCTCATTTTAGTGGACACCAAATAATTTAAAATTTCGGTCAAATTATTATCAAAAATGCTATCCAACCAAATTCCCGGTCGTTTTCGATTCCCGGTTCTCCCGTTTACGTTTCTTCAGTCTTCATTCGTTTTGTATTTTCAGGTTCAATTTTAGCTTTGGAGCATAGTATTGAGCTCTAACTGGTGGTAGGGTAAACGCTCCTATAGTTGCGGTACGTTAGAAGCGTTAGGTTCCTATAGTTGTGTATTGAGTCTCCATACACAACTATAGGAACCTAACGCTTCCAACGTACCGCAACTATAGGAGCGTTTCCCCTATGTTTGTTTGATTTATAAGCATTGACTTTTAAAATCCTTACATTACCCTCTGTAGCTCGCTTAGGAAGGCATTGGTGCACTCGAGTAGTAAATGTATGTGCGCCTAAAGCATTGCTGGTTATGGGGCCTCTGCGTCTGCATCTTATGAGAAACTTCTTTCTACACATCATGTTGCCAAAATTTCAGTTGATCTGCTAAGTGGAGAAATCTACTTCCGATTTGCCAACCAGTCGAAGTCAAATTCACTTGAGTTCCCATATTGCATTGCAGATTCGTAACGGCTACCAGATAAAAGCACAACCGTATCGCCTGCGTCGAGCTTAGACGCTCGAAACATAAGTGGACAGCCTCGCTTTTGTTATGAGCAGTTCCACGCCAAATGACGAATAGATCAGACTCGACTTTCTCAGATCTGCGTGTTTGTTGTAGGCATTCACATTTGTTCTCAATTGAAATTTTCTTTTCAAAACGGGGTATTTGACATTTTTAGTCAATTGAAGCAAGGAAACATCAATTCAAATCGAAACGACGTCTGAGACATAGTTGGAGGAAAAAATAAAAGGGTTCGAGTAATTTGCTCGGAAAAATCTAAAAAAGTACGAGTAGAAAATCCAAAAAAGTGTTAAAATTTAGATATCAAAAATGATATGATGTATGAAATTCCAAATACACCCTTTTGGAAAAAAAAGGCCAGATTCAAAAAGGCCGAATTTGAGCACAAATGTGAACTAACAGTTTCATGCAAATCGGAGAAGGTCGTGCCAAAAATTAATTTTTTTTTTGCTGATTGGCCTGAACCGGTCTAATGTTACATTCGATAGAAGAAGAAGACCTAGACGAATGCTACAGATGGCCAATGTCGCACGGCAATTTATTCTAAAAGTTTCTTTTATGTTCAACCGAGTGTGGATTTGTTTGCCTCGACTTTCCGTTTCATCTCAAATGAGATTCAATGAAGGTGCCTAATTTTATGTTTTCTATTTCATAATGATCTCACGCATGCATTGTATCAGTAAATCCAATAGTAGCTACTCTATTTAATAATAACCCAATCCAATAGCTAAAACACTCACGCGCAGCGTGACGCCAAACGGTTGCAAATCAATTTTCAAACTTAATTACCGCTCTTGGCTCGCCAGTTCCTCATATGTGCGAACGCATCCATAATACACAAGTGCTAATTGATTTATTTGTCGCTTTCGTTGCAGAATTCCTCGATCGGGTCGTTAGCGCCCAGAAGATGTACGGACGCCGGATCGGCATGAGCCGAGCCTGGAACGGACCCATCCCCTATGTGATGATATCGAAAGCCAGCGCCGTCGAGGTGAGAATCTACGATCTTGGTTAGCGCTCGCAGCTGGACGCATTTCTAGATCTCACTGTTTGGATTTCATTTTATGTCTGTTTCGAACAACTGTGACGTGCTTTAACGATGCAAGGCCGCTTCGTGTAGGTTGGCTCGATAAGGGACTGAGTGGTTTTCACGCCATGGAATCCATTATGCTGCTTAGATATTAAACTAGCTGGTGCATATCAATGATGTAACATTCTATTTATGGATTCAAAAAATTATGTATTAAAAGGGTGCATGGGAGCGACTCGTTTTGGGTCACCATCGTCGATCTCGGTTCAAAATAATCAAACCGAACTTGGTTGACCTTTCTCAATCTTAAGTCACCGTCATCGGCACGTCTGTTGTTACACTGTCGCGTCGTTGGCAATGGAATTACTTCAGCTAGTGCTGATCGCGTCGTTTCTACACCCGATGACGTCAAAGCATTCTGGCATTGTCTATTTAATTGAATTCGATAGTCTTTTCCAATTAATTCGCTGCTCATGATGACGGCAGATCAGCTTTATCGCAAGGCCAGGGGGTACACCTGGAGACCTGAGTTATCGCACCACTCTCTCATTATCGTTTCTTACATACAGTGTATCTCAAAATTGATCGTTCACCCTAGAGGACAATTTTTTGAAACATCGTTGTTGTTGTTTATTTATTATCGACCTTTTAACCATACAGGTAATTCGGGTCGGTTAGATTATTGGATACAATTTTATCTTAAGTTATTATGATATTTTAGAACTAACACTGACACTGATTTTAATATTGAAATAGAATTTTGAATTTTCACTAGGGTTGGTCATGATATGGACTAAATACCTGGTTTTCGATGATTGTAACATCTTGGTCGCCGTTTTAGGATGCTTCCTTGGTGTTGTCGTTTCCCATACTTCGCGTATGATTCACTGAGGTAGTTGTTCGCTATGTAAGTTTTCGACTGATTGCTGTACTGAGGAGTGTGGCTGGTTTAAATATTGTGCAACTGCTGACTTCGTGGATCTAATGTTTGGCTCATGATAATTGCCGACTGCTTTCTTTCGCAAGATTTGCTTTTTATTTCGTTTATATCTTAGCGCAGTGAAAATTGATGGTGCAATGTTCAGTTCGTTTCTTATGTTTTCAAATTTAATGCAGTGGATGAGTAAATGTTTTACACTTATTTTGGTGCCACAGGTTGAGCATATGGATTCTGGTTCTTTTCAGACGAAATGTTCGTGGGTCGCTCTGGTGTGTCCGATTCTGAGTCGTGTAATGATTTGGCTCTCTTTCCGTTTGGAAGTTAACCATTCGATAGTGTTGTTCTTGATTTCTTAAATTTTTCCTGCTGCCCGCTGTACCAGGAAACATCTCGTGGGTATTATTTTCCTGCTGGTTGGTTTGTCTAATAGCGAATTCCAGGGCTGGTAGCGAGTCATTTTTTAGTGACTTGGTCACTTTTTTCAAGCCAGTCACTAAAAAGTCTCCTTTTTTTAAGGCCAAGTCACTAAAGTCACTTTTTTCTTGTAATCAGTCACTATTTTCAACTTTTTTTAGCGTGAATTTATTTCAAGATTGATTATTCTTCTTGCACTGTCAAGGATCTGATAGTCCAATCGATGACTACATTTTGTTCTTGGATTTGGAGAAGTTCTGAGGAATGAAAGGAAATGCTGAGAATTTCAGTGAAGCTCCACAAACAAACTGCGGGAACATAAATAAAGTTTACACTCTGAAAATATGGGGAACTTACTGAGAGCTTTAAGAACCTCAAAGCGGTTTTTTTAGCATCTGAAAATCTTCAGGAACTTCTATGAAGTTCCTATAATTTCAGAGAACTTCACAGCTGTCAACTGTAGAAATATAGAAATCTTGAGGGGTATTGTGTAAATTTTTAAGAAGGTCTAAGCACCTCAGAAAAGCTAGATCTAGAGATCTTTGGGGACTTTCAGATCTTAATAGTAGTTCCCGTAACTTTAGTCCAGACTTTTGGAGTACTTTAAAGATCTATAATTGTAAATTTATAAAAATTCAGGATAGTTCCATGATGTGCTGAAAAAAACGAGAACCATCTTATGGGTCCGAAAATTTCAGGAAAGTACAAATACCTTCAGAGAATTTATCAAAACTTCAGAAATACTTCAGGAACTTCACAGAAGTCCGAAAAATTTCAGGGAAATTTAAAGGTGTTAATGGGAATTCCATTTATTTCCTAGCAGAACCGAGATCTTCAATTGAATTGAGTACTTCAGAGAAGCTTCGAGAATATCAAAACAAATCAGGGAATCAAATGGCAGTTCAAAAAATTTCAAGGAAACTGTAGAAACCTTAAAGAAGTTTCGAGCAACTCAGGGAAATTCCAGAAACTTCAACAAAGCTCCGAGAGAATTTCTGGAACGTGATAAAAATTATATGAACACCCGGAATACGTGAGAGTATTTTAAGAATGTTAAATCATGGAGATTTCAAGAACATCAACGAACTTCCATAAACAAAAAAAAATGCGAACTTTTAGCAAGCAGCGATATCTAAAAGAAATCCCAGAGAACTTCTAAAAAAATTAGATATGTTTAGATAGTTTCATGATATTTAGCAATGTTCCGAGTACTTCGAGAACGATCAGATAGCTTCAGAATAGTCCCATTTGCAGCTACTTGCAAGGAGTTCCGTAGAATTATGGAGTATTCCGGGAATTCTAAGATTGTTCCGAAAACGTCAGAAGCGTCAGGGAGTTATGAATATATATCAGAAAATTTGCCGAATTATTAAACAAATTTAGAGACCTGCAGGTAAGCATACATAAGTTCAGGAAAATTTTCGAAACGTCTGTGCAAATCAGTTAATTTCAGTAATGTTGAGGGTTCTTAAAAAATACTGATAAATTCAAGGCAGGCAGTCAGGAGTTTTGATAACACCAGAAAAGTCTAGATAGTTGAAGAAGCTTTAAATTATTGTCGATAATGTTTAAGGAAGTTTCATGAACTTCAGAAAAATCTTGAGAACGTTCTAATTCCATAAAAATTTCGGGGGCACAAAAGTTCCAGAAATTAAGAAAACCTCGAAAACTTCACAGAAACATTTCGAGAACTTCATAGAAATGAAATCTATGGAGCTTAAGGGGAGATCCGCGAACTTCAGGAATTTTTATGAACATAAGCAAAATGCGGGAGCATTTGAAAGAAGTTTAGTAAGCTCCGAAAATTGGAGGAATTTCAGGGGGAGAACAGCTCCATTAGTTTCAGAAAATTAGTAGGAAATTTAAAGCAGCTCCCAGATTTTCAGATAACTTCATATTGGTTAAAAAGTTAACTGAGTACTATACATAAGTTCAGAAGTTCACGGAAGCTCAAACATTTTTAGGACAGATCTATTAAATTCAGCGCAGTACAACAAACTTCCTGCGAACTGCAAAAACTTTAGAGAAGTTTTGAGAATTTCGGAAAAGAACAGAGCAGTTTCTTTAACATTAGAGAAGTCACATAAATTTTGAAGAAGTTAAGAGAACTTCAGCGAATTGTTAAACCTTTAGAGGAGATCCATGATCGTTCGGAAAATTGGGGAAACTTTAGGAAATCCTATAAAGTTCAGGGAAGTTTAAGAATGTGATGACAAATATTGTGAGCTTCAGGCTAGTTCCTGAGCTTGAGCTTGAGCTTGATTGACCGCTCACGGTTGCTACTCTGTTATTGCCAGACCAGCTGCAATTACACAAAGAACCAATAGACGATGCTTAGGACTAGCAATCATCCTCAATGTGTAAAAACTGGTGATCTTAAATTAGGCAATACCAGCGCCGGCCGCGCCCGAACACAGGTCAAGAAAGGAATGGGAAGGATTGTGTTGACATGACACTCGCTTTGATGGAAGCCGAGAACACCTCTGCACTTCCACGAGGAATCACTGGGATGTTGGATAAGAGGGTTGGGTTTGCAGCAGGGTTCGTTTTGGTAAACGATAAGCTGAATTGATGTCCTAACGATCATATAACGCGAAGGAGCTTGGAACTAAACCCACGGTCTTCTGCTCAGTTAGCAAAAACGTTTGCCACTAGGCAGACGAGCACCTTTTTAATCACCGAGTTGCTGTTATTACCATGTAGTCATATTAACAAATAAAACGATTGACGAATCTTGAATATGGATGGGCCTGAAATTAGACTCATGATGTTCTGCTCAGTAAGCAAAAACGGTTGCTCTAAGGCCACCGAGCCCCTCATATCACATAATACCGTTGCTCAAATTTGTGTATCCATTCAAACCCGGAACCAACGACAACAACGAGTTTCGCAAAATACACGATACACAAGCGATTTTACCATAAATCTCTTTGATATGCGTTTTTCTGCTAAGTAAGCAGGTCACTGTAACCGACGATCTTTCAAATCTGAAAACTAAAAACTACGAAAAAGTACTTAGGCCTTCATTCCCCGTAACGTGGGTAGATCACCTTTTCGTGGTACGTTACGGGATGTAAGATCTACCACCGATTCCTAGTCCTGACTACTTCAAACTAAGGGAACAGGATTTTTCAGTAATCCAAGGAACACATCTTAGTCCTTGTTGCTTTTTATGCCTTGTTGATAGTGACAAGACTCGGCTTTGTCTACCGAGGATGATCTTGAAACAAGGAAAAAAATGAGTTAGTTGTCTTCATCTATGTGATTCCTAATCTTCTATTCGTTGTTCCCTAGTTTGAAGTGGTTAAGACTAGGGTTCTGATGCATGGTCATTATCGGTGTCATACCTTAATTTTGTTGCTAAGGAATCCAATTTTGACTGACAAAAGGGCGCGCCTTTGAAGGGTGTTTCAACACTCCGAAGGGTATAAATAGCGGGACCTTTCAATTAGAGTCGGATCCTTGCGATAAATGCAAGAGTGGCAACTGTAAAAAAATCGAATACTTTATCATTTCTCAATAGTGATGGAGTAATACGACATGCACTAAACTAAGGACACGGGATATACTACAATAGATCAATTTACTGGTCACAGTAGTGTTAAGT